AGTGCTTAAGAAGTTGTCATCCATAGAGCTTTAATTCTTCAACACTACTTTGCTCAATTGTGTGAGCTTTCATTCTTGTGTTGTAAACTCAATCTCATTTGAGTGTTGTTCTTAAGACTTGTGTGACTCAAGTCTTGTTGTTGTAAGAAAGTGAGGCTTGTGTGATTCAAGTTCTCAAGTTGTACTGGTTTTTCAAGCACCCGTTGAAGCTTGAAGATTAGTAGGACTTTCGAGAGAGTCTCTCGGAGGACTGGACTGGCCACGAGGTGGTGAACCAGTATAAATCTCGGTGTTCTTCTCTCCCTTACTCTCTTTATTTATTCATGCGGTTTTATTATTTCACACTCGCGAAAAACGCACATTCTTGAAAACAACTCTATTCACCCCCCTCTAGAGTTGCACATTTGTCTAACACCAGCGACCTCCCGAAACTCCGCCTTCGAAAGGCTGGGGGATAGGGAGGAAGGCCAGAGGAAGTCAGCCAAGCAAAGGCTGGGGCAGAGCGTTGCCCATGTCAGCGCGTTCGCCCGGCTAGGCGAGGTGCGGGAGGCCGAGCCTGCCCGCACCCGGCGCTCCCGGTCAAACCGGCAGGAGCCAGCGAGGACGAGGGCCTCTCGTCAGGAAGAAGAAGCAGAGAGCCAGCCCAGGTTACCGGTGGCGAACCGGTTGACCATCCCAAATGACCGCGTCCAGCAGATGGAGGCAAAACTAGAAAGGCTGGAAAAGAAGGTCGGGGAGAAGAATGACCGGGACAAACCCTTGGCGGGGTCCTCGTTCACCACAAGGGTCCATCTGACACCTTTCCCGCGAAAGGTCAAGATTGACGCTCCTAGATTCACCGGGAAGGAAGATCCGGAAATCCATCTGGACTCCTTCAACTAGAGTGCGACCATGAATGGTTGCACCGATGAAGAAAAGTGCCTTCTTTTCTTCCAGACCTTGCGGAACCGAGCCACTGAATGGTTCAATAAGCTTCGCCCAGGAAGCATTGATTCGTTCAGTGATTTGGCCTCGAAGTTCAAGGCCAAGTTCCAGGAGAATTGTACCAAGAGGAAGAAATTCACCTACCTTAGTACAGCCGGGCAGAGGGAGTCTGAGAACCTTACTCAGTTCCTTACCTGGTGGAAGGAAGAGGTAGACAAGGTGGAAGAGATGGATGACAAGACCGTCTTATCCCTCCTCTTGAATGGCTTACGTTCCGGGGAACTATAAAAGGAGTTCTGTCGGAAACCCCCGGCCACGTACCAAGAGACCTACCATACTGCATGGGAGTTTGCTGAGGCTGAAACTCAACTCCGGGCGAAGAAAGAAGTCGAGCATGGTTACAAGCCCAAGCCGGTGCAAGTCAAGAAGGAAGAAGCACCGGGACCTAGCTGGCCAAGACACCACTATGACCCGGTCTTCCGTATGGTCAATACGGAAGAATGCCCAGAAATCTGGAAAGCACCGGTCATTCCTCCGGAAAATCCTACCGGTCAAACAGGGCGGCAGTGGTCGGGCACCTATTGTTCGTACCACAGGTCAGATTCCCATAACACCTCCGAATGCAAAAGTGGTAAGGGGGTCATCCGGCATATGATAGACAGTGGAGAGCTGGGCAAGGATTACTTGCAGAAAGCCCAGGAGAAGAGTCATCAATGGGTTAGGCCAGCTGCCCCGGGAGATGACCGGGACAACGACCGGCGGAGGAATAGCCAGCCAAGGGAGCGGCAACCTGCTCCCGAAAAAGAGCACATCGGCATGATCTTCGGTGGACCTGAAGGTGGAGATTCAGCCGCGCAGCGGAAGAACTGGGTCCGGAGCATTTACGTTGGTGAAGTAAGCGCTGAACCACCCAGGCGTAAGCATACTAGAAGGGAGCCGATTGTCTTTACTGACCGGGATCTCCCCCCTACCGGTGAAGATCACAATGATCCATTGGTCATCACCATGGACGTTAATGGGGTGGATGTCGCCCGGGTACTAGTTGACACTGGCAGCAGTGTCAACATCTTATACCTGGAGACTTTCCAAAAACTCAGGTTGTGTCGGACACAACTTGAACCCCTCAAAACCCCTCTCTCAGGCTTCACGGGAGACACCATTGAAGGTGAAGGGTCCATAGTTCTACCGGTCGAACTAGGATCAGGCGAAAAAACCGTATGGAAGAAGATGCGGTTCATAGTTGTGGACATCAAATGCGTCCACAACGCAATTCTTGGAAGGCCAGGCATCAATAGAGTCGGGGCGGTGATTTCCATGTCTCATCTATGCATGAAGTTCCACACTCCAGGTGGTGTGGGTGAGGTGAAGGGTGACCAGAGGAATGCCCGGGAATGCTATGCCCGGGCAGTCAAGAAGATGACCAAGGGGGTCAATGTCATCTCCCAAGATGTCGCAAAGGGAGAGACCCGGGAAAAATTGGAGCCCAAGGCCGAGACGGTGGAAATCGAACTTCACCCGAGTGATTCTTCGAGGATGGTCAGAATTGGAGCAAATCTCCCCGAGGATCTCAAGGCAGAGATTACACGGGTCCTCCAAGAATACGCGGGCATATTCGCATGGAGCGTGGCGGATATGCCCGGAATAGATCGCTCTGTTATCTGCCACCGGTTGGCCGTGAGGGAAGGAAGTCGATCGGTACGTCAGAAGAAGCGGTACCTGGCCAGTGACCGGCGAGACTTCGTCAAGAAGGAAGTGAAGGACCTCCTCAGTGTTGGCCACATCCGGGAAGTCAAATAGCCGAATTGGCTGGCCAACGTTGTCCTTGCTCCCAAGGGAGACACGTGGAAAATGTGTGTGGATTATACGAACTTGAAGAAGGCTTGTCAGATGGATTCATACCCCCTTCCCAATCCAAATCAAATGGTGGACGAACTCCTAAGTTTCGTGGATGCCTTCAAGGGTTATCACCAAATCTACATGGCCAAGGAAGATGAAGAGAAGACGTCATTCCTCACACCCGAAGGAACCTACTGCTACCGGGTAATGGCGTTTGGCTTGAAGAACTCGGGGGCAACCTACCAGCGCATGGTGAACAAACTCTTCAAGCCACTACTGGGAAAGACCATGGAAGCATACGTCGACGACATGCTGATCAAAAGCCAGATATCTCTCAACCACCCGGCTGATATGCGAGCCACATTCGATATCATGGCAAGGTACAACCTCCGGTTAAATCCCAAGAAGTGCGTCTTCGCGGTTCGCACCGGGAAGTTCCTGGGATTCATGGTGACCAAGAGAGGAATAGAGCCCAACCCAGAAAAAATCCGGGCCATCACCGAAATGCAAGCCCCTACCTCCGTTAGGGATGTCCAAAAGTTGACCGGTCGTCTAGCGGTCCTCAGCCGGTTCCTTTCCCGGTCAGCTGAGAGATCCCCGCCCTTCTTCAAAGTTCTGAAGAAGGCCAACACGTTTGCATGGGACGAAGAATGCTAGAGGGAATTTGAGGAGCTGAAAGAGTACCTAGCGTCGGATATTGTATTGTCTAAACCCGAACCGGGTGAAACTCTGTATCTATACCTGGGAATTTCCCCAAATGCTATAAGCTCCGTTTTAATAAGAGATGATGGGGCACAGAGGCCCATTTATTATGTGAGCAAAGCACTAAACGGGGCTGAGAGTAGATATACGGCAATGGAGAAGACTGCCTATGCGCTTTTCATCTCCGCAAAAAAGTTAACATCCTAGTTCCAAGCTCACCCGGTGGAAGTCTTGACTGACCAACCGCTGGGTGCAGTGTTGCGAAATTCAACATCCTCCGGGAGGATGGTGAAGTGGGCGATGATGTTAACTCAATTCAACATTGAGTACCGGCCAAGGTCAGCAATCAAGGGACAAGCCCTTGCTGACTTCCTGGTAGAAATGACTGGTCTAACCCCAGACCTACCGGTCAACAAGTCCACAGAGCAATGGTGGAAGATGGCAGTTGATGGGGCATCCGGTCCTAGAGGATACGGGGGTGGTATTGTGTTCACCACCCAGAAGGGTTCAAGATTTACCATGCAATCATCTTCAACTTCAAGCTGACGAACAATGAGGCAGTATATGAAGCTCTGGCTGGAGGGCTCAGACTTGCCCAAGCCCTGAAAATCAGCCGGGTCAGTATCAAATCTGACTTTAGCCTGATTGTTGGGCAAGTGACCGGTAACATGGAAGCAAGGGAAGGACGCATGGCACAATACAAGGAGCTCGTGCTTGCCCTGTTGAAAGGCTTCGAGGAATTCAAGATCGCCCAAATTCCCCGGGCGGAGAACGCGGATGCAGACCTTCTCTCCAAGTTGATGCAGTATGCTCCCGAGCATGTTTCAAAACTTGCCCGGGTGGTAATCCAAGATCGAGCCAGCATTGAAAAATTGGAAGTCGCCGCTATAACAGCCGGAAGCCAATCTGACCGGTCAAACCTGGTCGGGGCGGACGACCATTGGATGTATGATCTGATGGAATATTTGATGCATGGGAACTTGCCAGAATAGGATGACCGGGCAAGAAAAGTGAAGTTCAGGGCACCCCGATTCCAGGTTCTTGATGGAAAGCTGTATAAACGGGCATTTGGGGGGCCACTCCTGAGATGTCTAACTAACCAGGAGGCTGAGAGAGTCATAGCGGAGGTCCACGAAGGCGTATGCGCGGCGCACCAAATGTCCCGTACGCTTTCCCAGCGCATCATCTTATTGGGGTATTACTGGCCAACAATTGTCGAGGATTGTGAAAGGTATGTTCAGAAATGCAGAACATGCCAAATGTTCTACAAGTATCCCGGTAGACCGGCGACCTACTATCACCCCGTATCGAATGTCATCTCATTCGCTAGATTCGGGGTTGATATCATTGGAGCCTTCCCAGTCGCCCAAGGAGGGAAGAAGTTCGTAATCGTAGCCATCGATTACTTCACCAAATGGATCGAGGCCGAAGCCTTGGCCAACATCACCACGCAGCAATGCAAGAAATTCATTTGGAAGAACATCATCACGAGGTTTGGAGCGCCCATGAACCTCATCACCGACAACGGCCCACAATTCCGAAATCCAAGATTCACCGAATACTTGGAGGGCTTCAGGATCAAAGCACAATCGCTCTTCGGTGGCGTACCCCCAAGGAAATGGCCAAGTTGAAAACGCCAACCGAACGATCGTGGATGGTCTAAAGAAACGGCTGGGAGAAGCAGGAAACAAGTGGCTAAAGGAGCTCCCGCACATCATATGGGCATTCAGAGTAACACCCAGGAGGGCTCATGGGGAAACCCCATTCTCCCTAACCTATGGGTGTGAAGCGAGGCTGCCCATCGAAGCTGAATTCCCAACGTTCCGGGAATCAAATTATCAACCCGAGCAAAATGAAGAAGATCACTTGGTCGAGCTCAACTTGGTCGAAGAACGAAGAATGGCCGCGGAGGTTAAAATGAGTACATACAAACAACTTGTGAAGAAGTACCATGACAACAAGGTTGGGCCGCGATACTTCCAAGTTGGAGATGAAGTCTTGCGAAGAAGAGAAGCAAGTAGACCCGGTGATGGAGGAAAGCTGGCAAAAAACTGGGAAGGCCCATACAGGGTTAGAGCCATCATTCGCCCAGGAACCTACCGGTTAGAAACTTTAGATGGTGTACCGATAGAAAGAACTTGGAATTCCCACCATCTTCGCAAGTTCTACAAATGATTGTAATACTAGGCGGGGCCCAACTATATTATCAATCAAAGTGATGTTCAATACTCTACTTGGTAGCGGCGGAATTGATAGGTCGAACCTATCCTAGGAGGGCATTCCCGGGTGGATCGAATCCACTTAGATAAGCCAACTGAGACACAGGCCCGGACCTGGCACGCTGGTTACTACACCGGTCTAGCTCACTATAATAGAAAAAATTTTAAAACCCGGAAGAGGGTATGCCTGCAAGAAGGTTGGACCTGGAAGAAGGTTCGAACCGTACTTACACGGGCCCATGAGGTTTGACCGGTATCGGGGAATCAGCCGGTACCGTCAAATTGATTGGGGATTAAAAGATGCCCAATAAAAGAAATAGAAGGGGATCGTCCACCGTGGCGCATCCTGTTTCCCCCTTCTCAGGGAAGACTTGAACGGGGGGGGGGGGGGGGGG